TATTTATCATGGGCATAAAAGTTGAAAACCACCAACGTTTTTTATTAAAACATAATATAGGAATGCAACACCACATTTTCTTAAACCCATATTACGTATGAACATAAAACTAATTTTCCAAGAGAGAAACAGTTCATAAGTGAGACATAGTAAAGATAAACGTCGTCTTTATCAGGTGCGAAACATAAAGTAATACGTTTACACCATGTTAATCCCGTTTGTCTTATAAATACAACAGCCATCAGTTCTAGTTTACCTTAGGTACTAGAAATTCAATAGTTTATTTAATGAGATTATTACATTTATACTGGGTTTCATATGGTAAGTTTACCGACGACCTTTATTTTAAATAATGGTTAATCGTCATTGCATTTTTTTGTATTTTTAATTATCAACCATTTTAGACCACATAGGCAGTTTTTGAGCATTTTTTCGCCCATTTTCGATATTATATCTTGTAAAAAATAAATAATGCTGGCTTATAGTCAAATATTTTATCTCTGATTTTACGGATACAATAAATCAAACCTACTTAATTTCCATGGTTTTGCAAATATATATGTTTTATTTAATTTTCAATATTATATACCCTACGATTTAAATATAACATAATTTAGCATGTATTAGAGGAGGCTATGGATATAGGCATTTATTTATTCAGTTTGAATTATTTGGATGGATCTCAAATTTGCTGTTTATTTTTAAACCATGGCAAAGCTGAAGGACCGGTGACAACCCTTTAAAAGCGTATCTTTAAGTTTTACGATCGAATGCCTTTTATCATCGGTGATCTCACACCCTAATTTATAGGGTAACTCATAGAAAGGGTATTTTAGTGAATGTGGCGTAAAACCAACTTTAGAGGAAAGTAGTTTTTAACAGGAAACTAATGTTATGAGATATTCAACTTCGTGTGCAATAGCAATTTTTTACAGTAACTACTTTATATACAGGGTTTTTTTTTACTTTATATTTTATAACAAAACATTTTATTTTTTCATGCTCTTTCATTTGATATGTCACAAGAGGTACCTAACTTGCAATTTGAAAAAATTAAGTTCGGGGCAGGGGGGAAAGGGGGGGAATGAAAATGTAACGTTTAATTCAAACAACTGGGCCCCCTACGTCAATAGATGATTCCCGCAAACTGCATACGTCTATCTATTGCAGTTTTTACATAAATAAAGATGCAAGTTTAAAAAAAACACCCTGTATAATAAATTAACACTTAAACATACAAGTACTTTTGGAGTTAACTAATTAACCAATAACTAAATTTAATATGTATTTTAACACAATAATTGTGTTACTTCTGCATATAAATTACGCAACAATTTCTTCAGCCGAGATACCATTTTACCGATAGCTTAAAATATTTTATTTTATAAATCTTTTAGCTACGCTAATCTTGATAATTTCCGGTGGATTTCAATTCAGGTAAAATTAATAACAGTAATTTCTTTGGTTAACGAATTTTGACTATGATTACTCTGTAAGAAATTGCTAAAATTAACACAAAATGGTCGTTATGGGTGTCAAAATCTTCGGCCTGTTTTTTTCGTATTATTTATTTACACTCCCTTTGAATTTTTACTTGCCGAATTTATTGTAAATGCTGAAGGTTTTAGCATACAAATAATGTATATGCAAACTAGCCTTGTGTTTATATAAATATTGAAGTGATTTAAATTCTACTTAAGCAGTCAGTTGTAGCTGTCGTAATCTTCGAATTTATTGCTCTGTTAAATCATTGAAGAACCTCTTGTTCAAAACTCTTCAATGTTGGAGACTGAATTAGTTTTCAACCAGTGGGTAATTTATACATTGATAAAATAATTTTACCTTGGACACATAACTTTATGATTTTAATTAAAATTTTAAGTACTTGAAATTATTTATTTGTCCATAACAAACCAAAATTAGAATAAGAGTACTTAACGTGTCGCATTTTATTCTAATATTTCAGGCTGTAAATTAATATAAGACATATAAAAAAGTAATGAAAACTTGTTAATGAACCTACAGAAATGAAATTCACTGGGCGGTCGAATCAGGTGACTTAGATGTTGATCTTAGTCGCTTCTTCATCAAAGCATTTATTTATTAAAATTAATCTAACTTTCAAGGTAAGGATGTCCAAATCTTAAAAATAGCTACATAAAGTTTTAAGTGTCTGCTTGGTTAGCTTCGTGAACTGGTTTATTACACAGAAAAATTCAAATTTTGTATGTAAGAATGATAGGAATTTGTTCAATTGAAAATTATGGTTTGCATTATTTTGACCGTCCAGAAATGCTAACCATTAAGGTGGGAACTTTGTTCAGTGAGCAGGCACCCTTGTAGCCTAAGTGGGGTTCGTAGTTAAAACAACGTGTAGTGGAGCCTCTTGATCGCCTGTTACGTCACAGTTTAAGTAATTTACGAAAAATTAAATTATATACTTGGCAAGCATTGTTATTAATCAACACTGTCATGTATGCAAAATTTTTAACAGACTAAACTATTGTTGTCAAATTATTAATTAGTGTGTCTTTAGTATTATTATTATTAATTAGTGTGTGTGTAATTAGTATGTCAAGTTATTAATTAGTGATATTCTAATTAATAACTTGGTTACTGAATAATTGGGCTATGACTTCAAGTTATGTCGCCTAAAGCAAATTAAAGAACAAGTGTAATATACAGAGTGTTTTTTACGCAACCCACATTTTTACTAGTATTGTGAGTAACTGTTTAACGACAAAACCAGCTGTTGGTATACCTGTTTTGTTTACTTCATTGTCGATCAGCTGATACGTATTTTTGCATGGTTACTAGTATTGTGAGTAACTGTTTAACGACAAAACCAGCTGTTGGTATACCTGTTTTGTTTACTTCATTGTCGATCAGCTGATACGTATTTTTGCATGGTTATGTACGATGTTTACAATAATCAGGAATTTATTTTAAATAAGACTCAACATGGTGTTTTACAATCTAAAGTAAAGTATTTATTGTAGGTCTATGTTTTTTGATACCTACGTATGCGGTTTCCATAAATTAGTTTTTGTTTATTAAGGTACTGGTATCTTAACACATGGAAACTTAATTACAAACCTTCCTTGGTATAAGTATAAAATAAATTATTTATTTTTATCCTAATCGTCAAACTCTTTGAGTTTGGGAAAATGCCATGTTGAGTCTTATTGCAACAATAAATACACAATAATACTAAAATCGTAGATAACGATACAACAATAAACAATACCCATCAGCTGAGCGACAATGAAGTAAAGAAAACAGGGATACCAACATATAAGCTTGTTTCATCTATTCTACTACACGTTCACTTGAATAATCTAAATTATCATACCACCAAGTCATGCTGCATTTACAGTGAGTAGCGAATGATTTAACTAGCATTTATACAGTTAACAAGATAGTTAACCGATAAATTCTGTCCTTCACACCCACTTGTACACACTCCAATATACTCTATGGGTGAACTGATATATGACAAGATAACCAAGTTAAACCTACTTCAACAACTTCATATTGCACATAAATTAGCAACAGTACTAAACTAACACTTCATCTCACACTAATTAAAACTTCTAGAAAAGCGCCGAGATACTAAAATAGCGGTGAAAAGTGCTCGGAAAGCCAGTCACAGTTTTGTACTAATTACCATACCAACTCCTTCTGTCGCAATTCTTGTCTAATTGTAGGTTTTAATTGGATTGTGGTGAGGCTAATAAGTCCCCCTACGTCAGCAACCCTCCCTCCTCCCAGGGCAGTACCGAGTGATGTAAACACACGTGTTGCATAAGGTGCGATCTCGTTGGACACCCGTCAAATTAATGTATATATTTTTTGCTGTGTGTTTCAAAACCATTGTGATTTTTCTTGTTTAATTGGTCCACACCCTGGACCTGTTGCTTTAACGTCGACTTGTCAGATAGCGTAAACAAGTGACAACCCGTTCACATAGGATGTAACCAGCGACAAGTACAATAGCCACTCGCATACCCGGCGGTTACCAGAGATTAATACCTTTATAAAGGGACAAGATATACCTCAAAGATTTAGGACAGTAAGTTACCATACATTTATTTTGATTTTTTTTTAACACTGTATAGGTAATTTCCTATTGTCTCCACCTAACTAATTGTATTTTTTGGTCAGGTTAGGTAAGGGTAACATATAGTCGTTACATGTAGTCCAATAAATGTAGGTGTATACATTTCAATCCTCTCGGCCCGTATATTTAAAATTATCTGAAACCAGGTTACCTAACCAAACTTGTACGATAAGACTAGTGGGGTCGATATAACATAGAAATATTTTAAGTCGCCGTAAGAGTTTATTTAGTCACTTTCTTATCTTAATTAAAAATATTTTTCCAAAGCAAACATTTAAATAAAAATCTTATACAATCACGATCAGCTTTCTAAGGAAATTGTTTATTTTACTTCAATCGAGTTAGTTGGAGTTATACAAAATTACTGCGCACCCATGCATAGATAATTTCCATTCTTTGCACAACCAGTTACAGAAAGGGCTTAAACATAGCAACTCAATTGTAACGTCCTAAGGCTGATGCCCCAGGCTTTGCCTGTTATGCAAAGGAGGAGCAAAATCGTCAGCACACAAAACGACTCGTCATTGCTTTGCTGGTCCAAGACTGTTATATTAACTATATATACATATAGTCCCGTGTGTTCCGATTAGACTAAAATGAGTGACTAACTTTCATCATTCACTAGACCAACTACCAACGATGACTTGTACACTTTCCTGCTCATAAATATCACAAAATTCTAGTAATATTTAACAGTGACGGTATTCGAACCAAAGACATTTCGAACTGATCACTGATGCAAATTTTTTACAAATACCAACGACATGCGCTCTCTTACTGCAGCCATCGTTGGAACAGTAAGGGTATTTCACAGATTAGTCTACGATGAAGACCTGTTGGCTTTAGTAAGGAGTTTATTAATCATTTATATCTTTTCCAGGATCAATGTATGATTCCGACTCCAGGGAAGAAGAAATTAATAACGACATTCCCGTCATTGCCACCGACAAAAGAGCGGTAAGTTGTATGGTCGTAAAACAATGTAAAAACAATCTTATTACAATGTTATGAACATTTGTTCTATTTATTATTATAAATCAAATTTCAGATAAGCTAGATTCAACCAAAGATTTGACTTTCTCAATTTATCTCAAACATTGCAATAATTAATTTGGTTGTTATACCTTGAATTATTGTATGTCTTTTGTTTTTAAAGTACAAAGTAGAATGATTACTATTACATAATTAATATCTTTATAGTTTAGATTCAACAAAAAAGATTAAGGAACGCGGCAGCGTTCCGCCCCGCCAAGTCCCCCAGCGGTACACAGCTGCTGCAGTGTATATATACATGACGTGACAAAGTGGCTTTTTTACTCGTCTATAGCTCTGAAGAAACAAAAGCTATTAAAATAATTGTTCATCTACTGGATAGGGGCAATCATTCTCAACAAAATTAAAAAAAAGAATTTAAAAAACGGTTGTGGGTGAGCCAAGAAAAACTAGTTTGAAAATTCACAAATTTTCCGTGTTCTCCTTCTTCTCCTTAAATGTTGACGGACCTACAGCCCAAACCACTGGCTCAATTTTAATGTTTTTTATGTTGTTTGAAAGCCCTTAGCGTGTAGATGTGCCTTTTGAGGGTCTCAAGTCGGTGCGTTGACCCATAAACCCTTGGCAAGCCCTCAAAGTACGAGTTTGGCCCATTTAAATAACATGGGATTAAAATCAAAACAAAAGAAGGACCAGCTGCGATTAAATCTTAATTAATTAAATGTTAGAGAAATTCATAGGAACAGCTGAAAAATTATTTTAATACTTTTATAAAGTATTTTTTTCAGGTATACTGAATGATTTGAACTACTTACTATATAAAATTACTTAGAGCAGTGATATTCCCCGATACTTTCCATCGAAAAATTCAGTGTACCGATGGTACACTGGTACAGCACCTCGTCATTTTTAACAGTTTAATACTACTTATCAAAACATATGAAACCTAGGAACTTGAAACTTAGTACTAGTACGCTAGTACTAAGGTTTGTTCTATGTTTTGATACACTAAAACAAATAAAACGATCGGGAAAATCACTCTACATATGTTAAACAAGCAATTAAAAAGTGATATGTAAATTTAGGATAAATGAGTTATTCAATATTTGTTTTGCCTTATGCTATTTCTAACAAACCTAATTAGTTTGATTACATTTTTACATCTCTAATAAGGGCTCAATTTACACTAGTCTTTAGATATACGGGTTTAATTATTAGAACACTTATGTAACATCAACACATTTTATGTTGTTCAAGATGATCATTGATGAAATTTGAAACTGAGTTTAAGCCCAGTGGGTTTGTTAAATAGTAATTTTGGTACGTGTGTCAAAAAGTTTTTAATCTGTTTAAAGCAGATAAGACCAAAAATGTAGAATTTAGTTCTACATTAACAATATTATTGAAATTAAATGAGATGTAGTTGTGCCGTGGTCTATATATCAGAGAAAAGAGGATTTTTATTTTAACTGTTAATTTTCTACAAAAATAAATAAAATCTAACAAAAAACCACTAAGTGGTAACACTTTCCCCGCCAAGTCAGCAATCCAAAAAAGTTAATAAATCATTACTTTTTCCGCCAAGAAAAACAATGTAATGTATGTAAGTTTGGCAACTTGGCGGCAGACTTTTGCTCGATCCCTTTAAAAAATACCATAAAACTAGTTTCATTGAGCAAGTATCCCTCCCATTGGTACATTGCTAGGTGAGAGCTTATTTTACAAAATTTGACCTTATTTGTGCCACATTTCATAAATTATACTTAGTTGGACTAATTAATTAGAGAAGTTGATTTGTGAAATTATCCACGAACGTAACTTAAATGAAAAAAACCAAGCAAAAGTCTGCCGCCAAGTTGCCAAACTTACATACATTACATTGTTTTTCTTGGCGGAAAAAGTAATGATTTATTAACTTTTTTGGATTGCTGACTTGGCGGGGAAAGTGTTACCACTTAGTGGTTTTTTGTTAGATTTAAGATATGCCAAACTGTCAGAGCCGATTGCTAGTGGAATAACGTTTTCTTGTAGCTTACTTGTAAATTGATTGGTCGGTTTTACGACACGAACACATCAAGTACGTATTTTAAAACAAAGGTGAGTAGAGGATGAATTTTGAATGATTTTATGTCAGCTTTGTTACTGATTAATACCAGCCGGTTATTTATAGGGAACATTTATTAAAAGCCCAATGATAGAGGACTGCAGGGATGACTTTAAGCTTCGCCATAATCGACACCCAAATCTAAACATATTATCTGGGGTATATCATTTTAATTTCTATAGATTATAAACTAATATTAGGACACCCGACATTAATGATCAATAACCCTACCTACACACGTCAACTCTTGTTTCCATAATTGGGCAGCATCAGATGTTTATTCATGAAGCTTGGCAGATAATAAACCACTTTCTTGCATAAGCACATAGTCTACTTCTTTATAACAAAAGACTTTGAAAATTTAAATTGAACATTTGTAAACTTTCATGGCCGCTGGCCTGTGACTTGCACATTTACAATCATTGTTTGCGATTTATTAATATAACAAAATTAATCTAGGGCCTTCGGCCAAAAATACCACTCTGTAAATATACAATGTGTCTAGTACAGTACATTATCACCTAGATGTCATTTATCGTTGGGAATCAATTAATTGCCTATGCTGTATAAAAAAACTACGGTAGGTAGTAACAATGCTATGGTCTGTACCGCCCCCTTTAAAATACGTAAACAGTAATTTTAATTATAATGTGAACCCTGCCAAATTATTACTTAAATATTTGGTTATCTAGACACTAAATACGGATGTATCATTATTAATCTTTACGTATAGTTATATTTTACAAGTCACATTTAAAAATAAAGTTTTAATTGTTCGTAGGCCTAGTAGGCTGACATGTTTATTCATTCTATTGAGGTGTGAGGAAGAAGGGGGTTGTGGGCAAGTAGGCAAGTTAACGATGAAACCATTGTTACTTCGGCTTTGCAAGATTATTTTCTCACTGCAACTTTTCAGTTTGATAAATCAGAATCGCTTTTACTTTTTGCTAAATTATGCATTTCATTGGTTGGTGGTGCGATTTAATGGTCTAACATCAATGTAAAAAATATTAAAGTATCAAACCTGTTAGCTTATATTAATCTGCTGACTTAAAAATAATAATAAACATTTTACCTTATATACGATCAGAAATTTTCAAGTGGCCAATTAGATTTTAATCATTGTAAAGAGTCTATATAGAAAATTCAAGTTATTTCAATGATGCTTGCATCAAAATTCTGTCATTATAATTTATGCTTATTTTCTAAATGTATATATTTTTAAAACCATTAACTTTGCAATATAATTCCCATTTCTGATTTTAATTTGCCTAACGTGGACATATTTTAAACGTATCTAGGACGTGGCTAATCTAGTGAAAGCGATAAAGTTCTGTCCAATACTCACCATTTCAATCCTGTTATTCACCAACTGCTTTTGCTCTGTGAAAATTCCTTGGCTCAGTTTGGAGCCTACCTAGTCTGTTAGACCTATCTGGAAAATCGGGAAAATTAGCCTCTCAGCCGAGAATGTTTTTCTAAGTACCGGAGAACTACTGTACTACTACTCTATCATGAAACGAACGAGTGTGAAGCACAAGCTTGAATCACACCAAAGTATCTTGTTTTGCAATCTGTTGCGATTCGAACCCACCTTTTCGCAACAAGTTGCACATTACCTCCGCCAAAGTTTACAGTTTGTGAAGTTGCCTCGCCTTTGCTGAGTGCATACTTGAGCACAACTTGTGTGATTACCTGAAAGTCGAGATCGAACTCGATACGTGATCCATCCATGTTGGGATCAGCTGCTGTTATCTTGGCGGCAAAATGTGATGAAACTGCGGATGAAACTCTGGAATTTAAACGTGGAGGAGTAATAACACTGTTCAAGTTATTTGTATGAGAAAGTTTACAGTGCTGAGTAAAAACAATAAACTTCTGACGTATTTTTTTTTTTATTCATTAAGAAAAACGTTGTGATAAAAAACATCTATGTGTTAATTTGATCATAATAAGTTTACTATTACAAACCCAACCTATAGTGCATGATTAGGTTTAGGAGAGTGTTAAGGGGTGTAATAGCTATTTACCTAACCCACCATGTTAAACTTCCCTATCCCAAGCGTGATGTATACAACTTCCTTACTTCTCGAGTGATGTGAAGTATAAAAAACTCACTCGGTGATGTAAAGAAACCCATTTAAATAACATTGAGTGCTTAGTTTAAAAAATATACCTCTATGGAGCCAACGACGTTCACCGCTAGAAATCAGCTGTGCGCTTGAATGTTATTGTTATGCTTTAAAGTATTTTCCTAACGTAGCTTTTGTTTGTAAAAGAACGTTATTATTAGAAGATGAGTGAAATGGATAATTAAAAATATTGTACGTAAACCCATGTATATTGTCGGGTCAGGTAAAATCTTGCAAACACATTCACCTGCGTGATGTAAAAACGCTCTTACTACACTTGTAATGTAAATGTCTTTAAACAAAGACATCACCTAAAATGTGCCCGGGTTCAAATGGAGAGGCTACAAATAAACCACGTGTTATTTTAAGCTTCTACAAAGTGTGAGTGATATGCTACGCGGGCCTCTAGAGTAAAACTGTAAATAGTATCAGATATTCTCAAGTTTATTTTTGTTCATATTAGAATCTTGGCATTCTTGAAATAGTTTATGACTTTTTTAACAATGGGTAACTGTCACACATATCTTTAAACCAGCAATTTTCTTTTTCGAGGTAAAATCTTGATTAAACCCGTGTTTTGGGAAGATGTTTTTAATCACTAAACTAACTTAAAAAATGTATTTGTTAAATAATAATGTTGTTGATAAAAAATATTCTTTAAATTCTAATTTGATGTTTTTTTTTTATTTAAACGGAACTCTATCGTATGACCATGGCCATCTGTATATTAGGTCTACCCTTGTAATGTTAAACTGAAAGCAAAACTATTTGATATTACATCAAATTCCAATGCTCAAGACACATCGGTTGCAAACATTGCCTCCGAGCTAATGCTTAGTTCAATAATCGTATTGGAACTGGAACTTTTCTTAATGTAATCTGTGAAATATTAAATAACATATTTTTATTTATTTATAGTCTGTAGCTGTATTCTTTCTTTGCATCAATAGACAATACAAAGTATTTATAACCTGATAAACATTAGTTGCTATTTGATTGTTATATTATGTCATCAATAGACACCATTTAGGAGCATATTTTAACCCAAATATGAGTGAGGAGTGTAAAATGAATTGGAATGATGTATGATGGCTTGTGTAGCTTTGTTACTGACTAAGAGCAGCTGATTTGCTAGTCAGGTCCATTTATTAAAGCACAATGATCAAGGACAGCTGGGTCAGTTTCACACCATCAAAAAGCTTTTTTTCTGGATCGAACCAGCGACCCTAACAATGTAAACATTCAGCTACCCATCTTGGTACACGCCTGACTCGACTGTCCCTGATATAAAATTTTCAATCAATGGTGTTGGCTAAAAAAACATTTTTTGATCTCAGTCAATAACCAAGCTAAACTATGCATCTTATTCATCTAAATCCTATTCTCGATTATAATACTAATTAATACTACTTAGCGTTCCAGTCTAAAACCGTTATTTAGTGAGTGATTTTTAATATTTAACTTTTAGAGCTAAGTTTAACCTAGGTGCATTAGTGACCTATGAATCAGTCAGTAGCTCTTACACAAGGATCTCTGTCGTAAAGATCCCTATTCATAGGGAAAGTGTAACAATTTTTCATTTTAATTTGTACTAATATAGCTGGGTAGATGAGTGTTTATAGTCCTTGCATGGTAGTTAAAAGTTTATATCTTTCAAAAAATCAGTAGCTTATCGATAATTTGTAACTAGGTCCAGCTGTCCTTGTTTATTGGTCTTTGGCCACCTAATTATATAATTTTGGCTAAAGAAACAGCTGGGTTTTAGTCCCTGACGAAGCTTCACAAAGCAACACCTTTCCACACTCATCCTTCATTCTTTTGCGTTAAAATACGCCCAGTAGTGTCCCCCACATTTATACAAGCTCTAATAATATGATACACACAATAAACATTAAATACACACAGTAATTGTATCGCACATGTATACCGTATTCCCAGAATGCACCATTGAACAGCTGATCACACATCATGACTGCCTTTGTAGCAGTAACACCCACTTCATTGTCGTCATTAAGGCAAAACCCCGGGGACTGGGGTACATTACTGTAGACTATCCCAAGAGGTTTCCTACGTCACTAGAAAAGATTTTTACTTTTTATAGGCTTTCTACGTGGATTTTTAAACAACTACTATAGTTTGTGTATATGGGAATAGTTTAAACGGTAACATTTTGTTAATTACATAATCACCCTATGATAACTGTAATAATATTATGTAATTTTTTGGTGGATTGTTCAGTTTAATCTTTTACAAAAAATTTTTTATTCCCAATGTAAATTAGGATTTATTTAAATAACGATTCAATTATCAATTATCAATTATTTAAGATGGGGACGCCACTATGTGCGTATTTTAACCCATATATGAGTGAAGGATGAGTGTAGGATGAGTGGCGCGATCTTGTAGTCTTGTTAGTGACTAAGGCCGACATGTTCCTTAGGCACAGCTGTTAATTAATAGCTCATACAGCTAATGGCAACTAAGGGACCTACAGTTTATAGTGGAATCCGAACCACATTTTTTCCTTGTAATTTACGAATTGGTCTAGTTATCGGGATAGTACTGCGGATAGTCATAGTACTCACTAGTGCGGACGTTAATCCACACCAGGGAGCATCGGATCCACAGTGCATACCTATAAATATCCACAATTCTGAATTTTAGCATGGTCATCTCTGGTTTAGCCGTACAAATGTTTTTATACCAATGGATTTTTCTTAAGCTATTGTATTGTAAAGTTATTGTAAAGGGAAAATCTTTATTAAATGTATATTGCATGAGTAAAACATGTCAAAGAATAATATGTATATGTTTGTTTCATAAACATATTGTATTTTTTATACTAATATTTAACCTTGGATATCCAAACAGTATACACAAAGCAAATAAGTGTTACATTTGTATATTAAATTATGGTATTTTATTCCCACTGATTGAGAGAAGTTCTCGAGATGGCATATCGTCCATCTACTATTGCTGTGGGATTCCAAAACAAGTGAACGTTCCCACAATCTTGAATCTTTTAACAGAGCCCCTTTGCATATAAGTAGTATAAGTTGCTGCTTCGAACTTGTCCACTATCACCTATATGAACCTAGGTGATTAACCTATCATGTTAATGAATATTATATTTGCAACCATCTTATTGTGATAATGTCAATTTATTAACTTCAAGAATAAATATATAAATATATACAAATACGTATATATAAATATGTTATTTATATTTTTTATGAATTAAATGTTTTGTTTCTTGTTTCAGTCGAACCTAGGAAGTCGGGTAAGTAAATTACGTTTTCTGCGATCTTAACAAGTCATCTTTTGGATACAGACCTTGAAACTTAGTTTGCCATATAGTTGTAATAAACTATGTTTGGCATACAAAAACACAGATTCCATCTGATTAACTCACGTTAAAACAGAATTTCCAGTGGAAAGATAAATATGTTTTCACCATTCCAAGTCAATGTTACAACTACGCCATACTCGGGATCTGAATTAATTACATGTATTGAATTATTCAATACTTTTTTGGTAGTTTAACACCTACGTCATGTTGCGTATCGGTAATCATAGGTTTTACCAGTGCGAATCAGTGGAATACTCGAACGATAGTGTTACTTGAGGTGTCTTTAGGTAAGATTAAATTAGATTTAAACGCATTTTACTAAGACATTTTGTTGTGATAACCAGCGCAGACCATTCACAATGTTGAAACTAACTATCGTCCTACTTTGTGGTTATTAGTTATTAAGTACCTAATTTCTATTATGAAACTAGCCACAATTTATTACACTCAATTATCAATCGGTTAAATTAATTCTTTTATTGCCGAAGTAAAAAGGATTTTATCTGTTTGGATTGGAGAAATGTAACACAGAATTGAAGTATTGACAAAGATTACATGGACAGTAATTCAACTTTTCAGGACTCCCATTGTTGATACAATATTAGGTTAGTCTATGATCAGAGTCTATTTCTGGACATTACTGTCTGGTTGAAGCTACGCACAATAGACCAAAACCAAAGTAGTAGTAAAGTATTATCATTTCTTTACTAAAGAAAATTCAAGCACAACGTTATACAGTATCATATTGTAGTAAAATTTTAGGAATTAAAATGTTTACTTCCATTTAAACAGTAAGGTATTAGTAAGGTATAATTAAGTCAGTATGGCCTCTGCAGTGGTTGGTAATAATTCATTGATAATAAAACATTTTAATGTGCTGGCATGATAAATACAGTAGCCTATCCCGTATAAGCTATTGCATATTAACTGGATAATATATTGGAATGCAAAAGTTATAATAAACAAAATTTATATATCATTCAATGTAATGCATATCCATGCAATGTATTATATGGATCTAGTTGTTGTATAAAATTGTAAACTAATTTTAATTTTTCATAGGTACGTTTTGAAAATTTGGTCTGGTTACTTGTTCATGTTATGTTTTTTTCTTTTTGTTTCAACAAGTATTGGCAAGTTTGAAGTACTGTACAAACCAATATATATTGCTTAAACTAAAAATGTACAGAATTTCTAATAAGTATATCTTTCAACAATTCTAATTTAAATCAAATTATACCCTTCATCGTGTGTAGTTGTATTCAAACGAGAAGTTTAAAATGTGAAAAACGTTCTGTAAAATTATATTTCTTTAAAAACCAAATTATGAACAAACATTACATAGATATTAAAAAATTGGCAAACAAATTTTGAGAACAAAATTTTGGTCGACCGTGACAGGATTCGAACCTGCAATCTTCGGATCCGAAGTCCGACGCCTTATCCGTTAGGCCACACGGTCGTGGTAGACAGTGTCGAAATTGTGTTTGAGCACGCCGCCAATGATTACGTCATTCATTACGTACAGTGTTTATTGTTACGCAGTAAATTGAGTACATATTTACGCCTCAGTACAATAAGAGTAAGACCATTGATTAAATATACTCAAAAGTATAATAGTAAATTGCAAGACTCTCACATATGCAAAAACTTTTATTTTGTATCTTAGATTATTATCCCAACGATTATTTATATTTTCAAAAATTCTCCATAACCTATTTATGGGTGAATGCATAACCTTAAAATATTTAAAGGTATATTTTTATTTTATCACATCGAGATGAAAACCTAATATTTCTTGTGGAGTGCTTCACTTTATGTCTAATGTTATTTATATTATTGGCGAAAAAGGTATTAATACTGTTGCAATGATCTATGTGTAGGAAGGTCTTCAATAAATAAATTTATAAAAAATGAGTACTATAATATTTTAGTGAATTTTCCTATATGGACATATAGAATAAGCCATTTATTTACTGTATATTTCTTTTCTATTATTTTTGTGCATATAAATGCAAATATTATAATTTATTCATAACAATGATTTTATTTGGCCTACTATTGTACAATTTTATAAGATTATATACTGAGTACCTCCAGTTATTATTCAGCACACTTAAATTTATTTTTAACAGCTAACTTACTAATTTGAAAGTATGAGAAACAGTTTTTCGGTGTACATTCTTTTTTAAAAGTGAGGAATCGCTGCATTGATTTTGACAAGTGTTAGCAAAAACATGAAAGTTGCCGCTAAAAGGGTGATATGTAATCAAATAAACGCAAACCAAACTTTTAAAAACTAAACACAAAATCATTATAAATGACATTTTACTCCCTGTTCCTTGAACACCTGAACTTTTGCAGAGAAGGCACATGCAAATACGCTTTGGTGCAAAATACCAACAAATAGAAAAAAGTCATTGAGTTTTTTACCTCAATTATATATAAAAAAAAGTAGGAGCATGAATGTGCCTACTAATAGACTTTAAAGTTTTGTTAGTTAGTATTATTGGTACTACATTTTGGTAGTGGGCCCCCCAGTCAGATAAAGTTAAAGCACATAAATTTACAGAAAATATTTGGATAATTTTCGATAGATACGATAAGTTTAAATTTGTAGTAATACTTCTTTCTTTTTCATGATACCTCAACTCTTGTTGGCCGCTTTGGACATATTTTCTGGAACCTTCACCTACAAAGCTTGTAAGTATCACAAAAAACTAAGTACTAATTAGGTAACTTAAAAGAAAAAAATAGGTTATCATTTAGTTAAATGAGATTATGTCATTGTCATTTTAGCACCTTACTATTCAGATTAGGCTTTGGATTCAATTAAATATCCACAAATAACCAATTTTTTGTAAATTCTCTTGTGGTGATCCAAAATATTTTCTCCTCAAATGCCAATATGACTGTCATAAGAGAATCATAGAAGTTTCTAGGCGTGGACAGTTAACAAAGAATTTAAAATAGACTAAAAAATTAAAATCACCAAAATAACTATATTTTATTTTGAAAAAAAAGTTTAAAATGCAGCTTCCATTATTGCTATTGTACTATAGCTTTTTTCTACAATACCAGAATTTTGTTTTGTATGGCAGAGGCTGCAACTGTTATTTGTTGTCTAAATGTAAAACAATTATTAAAAATTAGATTCTGTCTGTGATTTAACTGATGTAGCACTTCATAAATTGCAGAGATAGTTAAAACTTACTGTATATTACTGCACTGGAAACAATATCATGAAAGTCCCAAAGTAGAATTCTTTAAGGAAATTTCCTATATAGGAGCTTGGGGCAAGAGTGCGCACTTAAAGTTAAACCCAAAAACAAATAGGTCAAATCAATCAATCAATCAATCAATCTTTATTTGCCATAAGGATACATTTACATATCATTGACAAAGTCTATTTGCAGTTTTCAAACCAAGTCTTAAAATAAACAACAAAATACTCTTACAGGCCAAATATTACAATTAACATTCAACTCCATTCACATTCTTAACTGAAATTAAAACCAAACTAAAAATAAAACCTATGGTAAACAATCGTGTGTTAGTTGATAACCAAACTACATTTTATTTTTATAATTATCATTCAAAAAATAATAATGTTAAGAAAAGTTACATTTGCGAACTCTTGTCCCGTGGGTAGGGCAAGAGTTTGCACGTTATGTGGCAAAAGGACGCACATTGTTTAAAAAAGCACTCAAGACCTACTCAGACATATTTTATTAGTACAAACACTCATCTACTTAAATGCTAAAAAACAAATTATGTTTAGCGCGTTCTTAGTGAAAATTAGTTCTTTTTCACAGTAATCACAAGTGAATGAGCTGAACAAGTGAATCCAACACAACAATTTGGCAAATTGAACAATTTGAACAAGAGTCGTGTACTTGCATGATGTGCATAGAATCCAGTTCTCCTCTGGCGGTTCCTCTGGACAGATAATTTGAGCAAAGTAAAAATTTCCACTCTGCCTCTTTACCCCGTGCGCACTCTTGCCCTGAGTTACTCTAATATTTTAAGAAAATAAACTATTCACACACTCAAAAAAAGTTCAAAATATTTTGGCTTAGTCTTTTTTAGAAACAAAAGAAAACAAATAATGTGTTTACCGACTCTGTATCAGATGGTTTAGCAAAAATCAAAAATACATACAGGCTAATTTATAAGGAAGTAAAAATAATCAAAATTTCCTTTTTTACTTCCTTCTAAATTATATGTATTTTTGATTTTTGCTAAACCATCTGGTACAGAGTTGTAAACACATTATTTGTTTTGTTTTGTTCCTGAAAAAGGCATATGCCGAAATATTTTGACTTTTTTGTTAATTGTGTGAATAGTTTATTTTTGATAGTGAATTAGAGTTTGGCAATACAAAGAAGAAACTATAATATTTTTAAGTATTTATATTATAGGATTTGTATTTTTGCAATGAAACAAAAATAACATTTCAGTGATTATATAATATTTACTTAACCATGTCTAATTCTATAACGTGTTTCATGCTATCAGATGTGTCAGGTAAGAAAGTTGAATTATACCATAGACAAATAGAATATAGACTGACAGCAGTGCTGCGGTTAGCATATGTTCTGGCGTCCACCGCTAGGAGTGCCATGTATGCAGCGTCTGCTGGTAGCATACAGCGAGGAGCCGACGACAGCAGCGAATCGAACACCGAGCACGCTCTAGCGGCACATCGCGGAACCTTCCTTTGACAGTCTATATGTTATTCTATTTGTCTATGATTATAAATAATGCATAATTAAATTTCAGTTAGTACTTAGTTTGGTTGTTTAGTCATTTAAAGAAATAGCTTTTTACACATATATAATTATGTTTTTAATGTTAAATGCTACACTTTAATTAAGTAGAAAAAACAATCAAATATTAATAAAGACCTGTTCATATAATATAATCATAATTTTAAAATACACATAACATTCTTTGTGTATTTTTTTATTATTTGTATTTATTTTATTATTGAATTTTATTAGTTTTTATTATTATTAGTATGTGGTGTCTATGGTATGTCTATTAATAATGTTTTATTAGAACACAGTACATACAGTATTTGAGTTTATAGCTTTAGAAACCAAACAATATCATTAATTTGTTGAACAAATTTAAAAAAAGAATCAAAACTATAGTAGACCTCACAAAAATAGTCAAATCGAACTTGTAAAAAGCTGAGCATCACTTATTTTTCAATATAAATTTATCATAATTTTATTGCCAGCTTTCACAAAACCATTTTCTAGCAAAATTTAATGCGCTAAATGCTAACCAAAGATATTCTTTTAGAGGAATTACTCATCATGTCTGGGATTAGTGGGATTTTAGGAACTCCAGTAAAAGTGTATTGTTACAAGTCAGGAGCCCCGCGCAACAATAGCCAGGCGCCGTCTCTAAAGGGTTGTTTGTCAACACGGGGTTCCCAGAAAGACAATAGACCCATGTCAATGGTCTACGTCAATAGGGTCTTTGACATCCACTAGAAGCTTCCACAGCGATCTGTAAACAGCTTTGTTTGGGCTACTATAGGGGTCTCCAGAATGTTCTCCGGCAAGCTTATATAAGGGACCGTCTTCCGGCACACGGCAGTTGAGTTGAGTTGAGCCTTCCGAGAATCGTCGCAGCAAGCGCGTGTCGGTGTTAGTGACCAGTGCTAGTGCTTGTGGAAGTGACAGTGCAGTGACGGTGTAGAGACAGTGTAGTGACACTAGTGACAGTATAGTGACAGTGTTGTAACAGAAGTGATAAATCCTGTAGAGGCTAGCTGTAAGTAGAAACATTGTAAATTAGAATAGGCTTTAGCTAGGTTTAGATAGGGTTAGTTAGGTGTTAGGTAATTCTAATATCTGTAAATATAGAATAATTAGTGTAAATAAATAGTTATAATAAAATCGCCAAGTTTTTATTGTAAAGAACCTGTTAAGCCCGTAACAGTATTAATTGTTTCATGTGATTTTTTTACTAAAATAATCATGCTAAATGCTACCTAACCAAAGAGTTGAAACAATTCAGTAGAGATGCTTCTTATGATGGATAATTTATAAAAAAAAGTGTCTTTATAACAAAATATCTATTTAACAAGCAAATTAATAGTTATAGAAAATTAATTTTGTGTTACTTTATTAAATTTTTTATTTTCCCATTTTTTTAAACGTTTTTGCCAGTTAACTTAATTTTGAAGAAGACTTATCAATAAATTTAAAAACTGAAATTGTTTATAAACTTTTTAAAACTTGAACGTGATTTTCTTTACTTTTGTTTCATGTCTTGGCAGCTGGATAGTCGGGTGAGTTCATCTCAATATTATCTTCCTTTAATATGATTTTTAGAAGTTTTTGTGCAGCATTCAATGTTTACAAAACAATCTAATGGAACGCAATTAACTTCAAGAGTTTTCTAAAAATGAAAAAGTAATTTCTGTGTAATGAGGCTGCTGCATAAAAATGCATTTTTATTTTTTATATATTCAAAAATAAGGAGAGTCCAATTTATTGTATTTTGAAGTAGCTTTGACAGCTACATTAGGCCAACTTATAATAATCATAAGTGGATTCTTGAACACATCAGTTTTAAAGGTGCAAAAGAGGGAAATGGTTAAAAGGCTTACATCTCGATATCCTCGCCCTCAGTTTTAGCTTTGACTATTAATACAACAACTTCTGTATCCAATAGTCAATGGTTTTAGGTAACAAAGGTAACAGTTAATAACTTAAAGTCAACATGTCAACGTATGTTTATGATGATGAGGAATGTCTCAGGAATTAAAAAAATATATTTTATTGCTACTACTAAAGTAAAATGATCAATTCTGTATGCATTATCCACAGAGACTTTCTTGGGGACTTTTCCAAAATTTAAGTACATGTGCATCAGTACTGTAGAAGAATGTTTAACATGCATTATATGATTTTTTAAATTTGTTAATTTGCATTTTTCATGCTTTCTTGGATTATGAAGAATTGTGGAGCAGTAAGTATTATAATTATTTATATCTATGTGTGATCAGAAAATATCTAGAGAATACAAATTTCTTTCTCGATGTGATCCAGCTTTCCAAGTTTCGCTCTACCCAGTGTACAAATAAAAAAAAATCAAAGATAAATTAAGTTGCTTAGATTACACAGTCCAATTTAAGGATAAGTCCTAAGGATAAACACGCACTATCACAGCCAAGATCATACCTACAACCTGGTATGTACAGCCAGGACAACATGGGTGGATGTAGAGTGTACTTAAGCAGATGAATAGAAGAATGAATTATGTTAGAAGGTTGGGTTGATTTTTATGACATCCACAAGAGGTCGAGAAGAAAAAGTAGAAGTGAAATGCAATGTGGATAATACCCCCGCCGCAGCAAACCTGCCGACTAAGCGAATTTCCATTTGTCTGAATTGTTAAATATATTTTAATAACATTAGGTTTAACGAGTACCTAGGTTTGCTGCTACAAGGAAACTAATAAAGTGTGTTTTTGAGTAAAATATTGATAGCTTAGTACAAAATAAATAAATTTGCCAAGTTTGATCAAAATATATCCATAAACAAGCAAACTACAACATTTGACAATATTCTCCATAAGAATAACATGGGAATTTTAAATTTACAATTTTTTTAATTTTCTCCGTTACTAATAATCGAACAAAAATACTTTTATATACTAAATTATTTGTTTTTTTAAGCTCTTTAAAAAGGTCTAAAGAGAAATCGGGAAATTTTGTGTTTTGAGGGTCAAAAGTGAGAAAAACCAATTTTTACCCCATAAAACCCCCCAAAAAGCCCCATTCCCATGGTCCGATCGTGCTGGTTCGCGAACTCATTCAAGTTTATCCCGCTTTACACATTTAAACCAAATTTCATCAAAATCGGACAAAAATTACTCAAGTTATCGCGTTCACGGACGTATATATATATATATGTCTATATATATATATATATATACATATATAAAAATTTGAACGAATGGTGTTTTTGGCCTCTGGGGACATCAAAATGAAAAAGTAAATCGGTCCAGGGTCTAGGTCTTACCGTGCCACCTACGGTAATAGCTACTTCCCTATAGGGAAATTCGCTAAAAATTACTCAAGTTATCGCGTTCACGGACGTATATATATATATATATATGTCTATATATATATATATATATACATATATAAAAATTTGAACGAATGGTGTTTTTGGCCTCTGGGGACATCAAAATGAAAAAGTAAATCGGTCCAGGGTCTAGGTCTTACCGTGCCACCTACGGTAATAGCTACTTCCCTATAGGGAAATTCGCTAAAAATGCTGTTAGCTACAGTTAAATTTGTCATATCACTAAGCAATTGGCTTAGGTCATGGTATAGGTCTTGATCAACCGTGCTGCGTGTGTACCCTAAAGCGTAGTTTTGTAATGTAACTCAGAATTTTTACTAATTTTGTTCGAACCAATTGAACTCTAAATTATATTTTTAAAATATATCTATTGAAAATACATGTATTTATTACATTATACTAAGCAAACAAAGACTTTTGGTGGACATCACTGAGATCTCCTAACAATGTCTGCTGCTACATAAGCCAGAACTTAAGAACTAAAAACAATCCTCTTTGTTATAAACAAATCAAATGAATATTACTGTTAATAAGATTATGCCACGATACAAATATGTGATCAAGCAATTATATTCTTAAATTAAGTACTTGTTACAGTTTAATCTTGGTAAAAAGTTCATCGGCTACCAATGGCTGAGATCCATGGAGTCTAGGCAGAGGAGGACGCCATTCTACATTGCTAACTACAGGCCACATGTAAGTAACGTCTTCGACTGTTGGTAACGTGTAATTATAATGTTAAGTCTGTTGCCACCTCAAACTGACACTAAAAGGAAAAAAATTAAATATTTTGATTAATTACTTCTTGCACCCTATTCAACAACTTTTTTAACATAATTCTACAAATAAAATTTGGCTACACACATTTCACTTATTTAATGGTCAACACTTATTTAACTGTACAAATTTGTAAAACGGTTAATATATAAGAAAACAAATTATATTGCCAATTTTGACTTATATCCAATGATGTTGACTTGGTGTGGCAGGAAATTGATTGTCTTTGTTATATCTTTCAAATAATTGTATACATTTTAGTAAATTTGTGCAATACCTATGTATGTGTAGATACATTGAAAAGTTTCTGTCTAAGCAGTGCTCGATTGGTAAAAAATGAGGTGCCGGAATTGTAACCTATTTTACGCCACATTACACTGTTTTAACAAACTTCCCACCCACTTGCCACCAGCTTATTTAAATGGGATTTCATTACGTACTACTGTAATGTAATTAGTTTTTACCGGACACCAACCAGCTGATTTTATTTGGCAATTAGTGGTTATAAACGAAAAAATTTAACCCCTCTTAGAGGTTATGAGTAGTGATTGTTAGCCCTTTAGTGGGTGGGAATATTTGTACAGATATTTTTGTTAAGTTAGCTTAGAGTAGTATGACGTAAAATATCGTTGTCACTCGTACAAAATGTTTTCACCGGACTCGTATGGTAAACCAGCACTCGTCTTTGTCTTGCACAGGAACGACAACACTTTTCCGGTAAACCCCTATTTTCAGGACTAGTAACGTAATATACTATAATGTGAGTACCTGTTAATGTAGGTACTTTTTAAGAACCACTGAAAAAAATATGTTTTAAAATGGATGCATTTTTTAAAAATAAATCTGTTGAGGCAAGATAAATATCCTGTGTTAGAAATGTCAGTCTTATATTGCAGTTACTTATCTTTCATCATCTATCCACAAAACCAGGAAAATCTCCTCGGGTGAGTTATCCGAACTCGGAAAAAGGCTCCTTGACCTGTTAATTATAGAGGTTAAATAGATTCACAAAATATAATATTGTGTGTGTTTTCCCCAGGAAAGTTCAAGAGAGCGAGACAATGACGTTTATTACGTGAAGACTTACAGGTACTGACGGCCTACCCTCGTGTTCTTCGCCAACCCAACGCTCCAGTCAACCCACAACACCTTCCGCTCGACTATGTCACTGATGTAAAAATTTCATTCATAACCCCAAATACAAATACCTTGTTGGATAAATTAAATAATGTTTTTAAATGAGATGTTATTCATGTGTACATTGTGTAAATTAAAATAAACGTGAATTGACACAAGTTAGAACTTAACTTAAGTGAAGTTTATTTTTTGAAAATTTATTTTGGTAAATACTTAGCGTAAAAGTGTTAGCTGACTGGGTGGACATGAACAAGTTACAGACATTGCAAAAAGTAAAAAGAAAGTTGAATTTTTTTGTTTTAGAAATAACAAATTATGCTGTTGAAAATTTAATACTGGGTACTGAAATATTTGGAGGTCTAAGTGAAAACAACTAATTTACAGTAAACTTGTTGATTTTAGATCTATTTTAGGCAAATATAGATCACTATATAGAGTGGTTTACCTACCTCAATCAGGGCACAGCTGTCAAAAAAGTAACCTATTTAAAATACTTACATATGATCATAAATTAATTGTTTTGTCTCTTGTTTACAATCTGACTGTTGTTTAACATTCAACTTAAGTACCACAACTCACAGTTTAATCACACATAGTTAAATCAAAATTCACATTTAAACCGTTGTAAAGAAAGTTGGTCAGCATAATTTGATCATTGAAAATGGATTCAAGAAATAAATTCAAGGTGAGGGGGCGAAACCCTAAAGGAATAACCTTTTTAATTACCATTTGCAGGTGCGCTAGATAATAAGCTTTAAAATGACACCTCGATTGTAAAAATCAATTAAGTAGAACAATTGGAAAAGGGGTATTACAAGAAACCCCCTATTTGTACTAAATTTATAGAGATGGTCCTTGGCTAAAGAACCTGCTGGTCTTACTGAGTAACAAAGCTACACAAAGCATCTCACTCTTCCATTCTGCTTTCATCCTTCATTCTGAATGGGATGGTGGCTTCATCCTGTAATCCAGAAGGTCAAGAGTTGTGGATATCTATAGGCATGCACTGTGAATGCGAATGCGATACTCCCTGGTGTGGATTAACGTCCACACTAGTAAGTACTATGACTATCCGCAGTGCTAATCTGATATTTGATAAAAGGGCAAAAATGTGGTTCGGATTCCACTATAAACTGTAGGTCCCTTAGTTGTCATGGCTGTATGTGCTATTAATTAACAGCTGTGTCTAAGGAACATATCTCCTGTCTACACTAACAAGACTACAAGATCGCCACTCATCCTACGCTCATCCTTCACTTATATTTGGGTTGAAATACGCACCTAGTGGAGTCCTCATTTTAAATAATTAATATAATTGATTGATTCATATTTGGATTAAAAAACGGCCATATATGTCACAATCTAGATTTAAAATTACCCAATGTGTCAAACTGCACACGTCACAATAACTTTAATCATGAAATAACAAATTAGGATTAGACAGTGGTAATAAAGCATGAACAAAATATTCAGGACCATAAAAGGTCTTCTAGTTTAAACAGATATAATTAAAAACAACACCATTGAAAGGTTAGGAGCGAGAGACTATATCATACCACGGTTTAAAACAATGCCTGTTATCAGCAGAGCAGTGCCTGAGTCGACCGGCCAGTCTAAACTGACCGTCTGCCTTCACACAACATTTTTCTCCATGAATCTCTATGTAATTGTGTGTGTTGTGCCGTATTAGTAACGGGTGGTCCATAAATATCGGATAATTTTCAAAATATGTCAATCAGCTGTTGTTACTCGTAGATTTTTCACTGTTGTATTAAACAACATCAAATGTTTGAGTAATCATGGATCGTCAAACAGTAGAACACCATGCCTTTTGCATTGAAGCCTATTTTAATTATAAGTGACATTATATAAGGCATTCCAGAAGGTTTTTTTTCCTTCAATATGCTGAAAGAGTCTTTGACAAAACACCAGACGTAATCTAGGGTCACCTTGATTGAGCTTCTGTGCAACAACCAGTTTGTATGGATATAAATTTAAATCGTCATGTAAAATACAATGTGAACTAGTCCTAGAAACACCTAAAGCAACAGAATGTTTTCTTGCTGATCTTTTTTGACTTCAGAGAACAGATTTCCAAACTCTTGCAATTTCCTCATCTGTACGTACAGACTTTGACTTACCCGGAGATTTATTCTTGAGAACAGGTCCCTTAGTTATTAAATTAAACACCCACCTATAGATAGTATTCTTAGAGGGAACCGCACCATCATGAAGGTTGTTGAAATGATTTTGAAATAACCGCTGAGATACAATCACATACTCGTTATTTTTTTAAAAGGCTTCAATGCAAAAGGCATGGTGTTGTACTGTCCAACGATCCATGATTTCTCAAATGCCATTATATTTGTTGTTGTTTAATACAACAATGAAAATTCTACACGTAATAACAGCTGATTTACATTTATTTTACAATGATCCGTTAATTATAGACCACAATTTATGATAATGAATGAATGATTATAGTTTAAAAAGCTTTGAAACGTAGAAGTACAGCTTGATTAAGACTTCCCAATCAACCTTCCATCCAAGCTGTCCACCGTTTATTTAGGTGGGACCCTTCCATCAGGCTATACCTCTAAACTCCCCATGAGTCATACACCAGATCACTGATCCAGAATTCCAACCCTCGATCTCTGGGCCTGACATGTTGATGGTAAGGCAACAGTCATGACCTCTTGGCTATTGATAAAAACTAAACAGTTTATCAAGCTTTTGGTTTGAAACTGAACCCAGCTGTTCCTGGTCATTGAGTTTTGATCCTGGCTAATGAAACAGCTGATCTTGGTCAGTAACAAAGCCACACAGATCATCTCACACTATTCTACGCTCATCTTTCAGTCATGTTTGGGTTCAAATACGTTCCTAGGTGGCGTCCCCAAACGGTTATTGGTGGATTGATTGACTCTGTCAATACTAGTGTACCTAAAGCTTCAGTAAAGTAATTCACAGCTTCTCTCTCAGATTGCAGCACATTTAATGTCAGCTTAAATTCATTTTTGTAAAGAATTCCGGGCATAAACAGTTGTAAGTTAACGTTTTATTAGGTCACACGTGTATATAGGCAAAAGTGGATAGTGATAAGGTGTTCATAAACTATTGGGACTATCAAACCTATGGATATACAATCACAAAGAGGAAAACACCAATATAAGATTCAAAGGTTATAAAGACAATTTATATATTATTTAGTTTTTTTATATTCATTATGGCAGAAGTTAAATACAAAGTAAATAAACCAATTATATACAATCTAAAATACATACTTACATGAACCCTAAACAACTGTACAATGTAAACTTTGATATGACTTCTAGGCTCTGTTAAAGCACATAGCTCAATTATAATTTTTACAATAAAGCGTTCAGTTTTTTCTCATAAACCACACCCAAATTATGGCTGATGTATTTAAAAAAGATTGTTCCTTCTGTCACTAGCACTTTTTTAACTAGCCAACCAAAAACTTTCTTCCATAGAACTGTGCCTTCTTTTCAAATGAAGGACATTTGATAGGAGTGTTGATATTGTAGAAAGGATTCATCAAGTACTGAAACATAAAAAAGTTATTTAATTGCAACAAAACTGTATGAATGGATTATTTTACTTAGATTATTTAAGAAAATCATACTAACATCTTAATATATTGAGGGTGGATGTAGTACCATAGACAAAAAAAATTAAATACAGACCGCCAGCTGTGCTGCGGTTACCATAGGTTCTGCTGCACATCGCTGGGAGTGCCATGTAGTTACGATGTACGGGCAACGTAAACTACACGGCGCTCCCAGCGGTGTCCGCCAGAACCTATGGTAACCATGATAACCGCAGCACGGCTGACAGTATATATTTTACTCTTTTTGTCTATGGCAGTACATACAATAAAAGTGATTGTTGACGATATTTGATCAACTCAAATACAAACTTTACACCTTTGGACAGCTGTAATATTCTCAAAGAATAGCCTATATGATAACGATCATAGTCTATTGTCTATGATATGTCTATGATTGTATATGAGTCACCTCTGGTGTTTCAAAATCAAATGCACCCAAGGAGGGTTAAACATTTTGCGGCAAATATTCCCTCATTAGACGCTATATTAAATTGGTTTTTATACTACCTCCTATCACTACCATATTACAGTGTATCTTCCATTCACAAAATTTAGGCGGTTTTAGGGGAAGACATCTATCCCCTCTACTTGAACCTACCTTTAAAAATAATAGCTCAACAGCTGGGGTTTGCCAAAATATAAATCAGCTGTGCCATATATTAAATAACTTCTTGATCAGCATTGTACGTGTTATTAAATTTACGGAAAGTAAATAAAAGAAACGTCTTATAACACTTAAAACATATATTTACGCACGTCTTGTGAGTAACATTATAAGCGTAAATATATGTTATAAGTGTTATAAGACGTTTCTTTTATTTACTTTCCATATATTAAGTAATAAAATTAATGGGAAGCTTTCCCTCAAACAGCCTAAATTTTGTGAACAGAGTACCTATAGGTATATATTTTATAGGACACTGTTGGTATTACAAGGAAAAAAACTTTAGAATTTTATTTCCTATTAAGCAGGCCTGGCTATAGGGTGAGTAACACCCTGTACTTTAAACAGCTTTGCCCCCCTTCCCGGGAGTCTGGGGGTATGTAGCCTCAGTCAGACATGGCAGGTTCTGGACCAGATAACATTACTATCTCATCTCTACGGTCACCACTGGCTTGCACTATTGACTCATCCCATAAAAGTATTTCACTGCCTTTAGACAACTGTGTAGACTATAGTCCTCGCCACCCTAACTTGAGGCAGCCCAAGGCCGCATTAGGTATACGGCGTGCCGCTTTGGGCTGCACATTGGACATAACCTAACTTGGTGCAGCCCAAGGCCGCACGCTGTATACCTAGAGCGGCCTTGGGCTGCACCAAGTTAGGGTGGCGAGGACTATAGTAAGTCTACACATACAAGTGGTTTAAGTTTGAAAATAAAAATATACATACTTTTATATACATCTCATAAATTTCCATGAAGAAGTTCTTGATGCCGTCTTCATTCTTAGTGTCGTGCACCATAATGAACCTCATATGGCTAGCTGTGACAAAGGCGGACACGAACCATTGGTTGAATTTATCAACATTCTTCAAGTACATGTGATTGGTCTTCCACATGTGTTCATCAACCAAATCCAGAGCTGCATGAGCCACAAACTGATTCAAGTGGCGGTGGTCTTCCTTCTGTAAAATCATGTTCATTAAAAATATTAAAGAGCAAAACTTAGTAGTAGTAAACCTGGACAAGGGCCTTGATATTACTGTATCATTGTTAATTTATTTATTTAACAGACAAACCATTATATAACATGATCATAATCTATAATCTATATCTATAAAAGACGAAGTAGGTATGTATGTGTGTATGTACCCTATGAACTCCGAAACTGCTCAACAGATTTTAATGAATCTTCAAGCATTATTAAGCATTATTCAAGGATGGTTTGTGTGAAGTTTGGTGCAGATCTGTCAAAAGGGCTCCGCCCCAGAGGGTTTTAAGGGGGCCAATGTCAGACTTTTGGAACTACAATGTTTACAAATTAATATAACTAGTGGAACCCCGTCGAAATCGACGGTTAATCTTGAGGTTTTATGTAAATTCAGCTAACTGCGATTGATAGAGTGAAGTCATTAAAATCTTAGTTAAATGAAGGGAGGATAAGCATTAATAAGTATGACGATTGTGTTCCCTAAAAAACGTGATTGATGAATTTGTTTAACACAATATTTCCTACCTTTTTATCGGCTTTAGGTTGCCCTAAGGGTTTTTTAGGAGTCTTATAATTGTTTGTTCATGAGTTTGTTTCATACAAAGCCACTTTCACTATATGGGAGAATGAGTTGATATAATTAGTCTATCATGTTACGGAAAGAGTCAATTTTATTACTAACCACTAATTCCATCTGCTTTAGGAAAATCATTCAGATTGTATCCTGATTTATAAGTAATCTTCATCTTTGGTCATATAATTATATCAGCATATTAAATCAGTTTTTTGTTTGATAAAAATATCTGATTCTCTAGAAAGCAGTAACATTCTTACTTCGATCTCAGCAATTTTAATTCCTTCTCTTGCCACATCGACCCATGTATTTAATCATCCTGTTCTTACTTGATAATTCATTAACTTGTGGGGTAGTTTTGCCTTGGCCATATAGATCACATAAAGCTGTGCATGTATTTCGTGGATTGGAATTAACCATAATTGTAGGAAATTTTATTACAAATCTTGAACATTTGAGGAACCAAATCCATAACCTAGTCTGGTAACAAATTATGCAAATGCGATGAGATGTGATGACACTGTTGTGTAGTGTTGTGTTTCACTACACTGTTTTGTATGTAGTGAGGTTTAAATGCGTTGTTCGACCTAGCTACATGTGTACATCAAAGTAAAAACTGTGTACACATTTTTTTTAATACCTGAATTGACATTAGTTCACCTACTTTACCAAAACCATAGACTCCGTAGTTAGTCTATTCCAAAACTTGAACACAGCTCTCATCCTCAACGTACTCATCTATGACACAATTTTCAACCCGATTATCAAAAACTGTTATACCAATAAATGAATCTCAGGTGTTCTTTCTTGAATTTAAAAATAAATGATGATTGAAAGTAGGAAAAAAAAGGCAAGTGCCAACCTTACAATATATATAAGCTAACCCGATAAGGAATAGTTATATGTTCCTTTGAAATTGATATGTCACACTTATTTCACAATTTAAAATTTTCTAAGAGCAATAAAGCATAGATTTTCGAACAAAACATTTAAAACGTATCATAAATTCATCATTTTGTTGAAACTATAAAAAAAACTTGCCATGCAGTGGAGAATCCATTTAAAATCATAAATAATAATGTAAACATTGAATTTTGACAGTTTCAGTAGACCTTTGAATACAATTTTAATATTAACAGCTGGTTCATTAAAAGTAGTGTAAAATTATCCATATGGTCGAAATGTAAACAAAATTGCTGAGTGAACTTTAAAGGCCACTGGGGCAGAGCCCCAAAGAAATTTACCTCGTTTATCTTTTGAGAGCTCACGTACTGACCAATACCTTTCTTTAGACACCCCTACCAAGTTTCTACGCCCAGCCGTTCTCTCAAATTAGCTGGGACAAAAACCCAGTTTTTCCTCCATAAGAATAACATGGGGTGGGAATTCAAAGGCCACTGGGGCAGAGCCCCAAGGGAATTTGCCACGTTTCTCTTTTGATGGCTCATCTACAGACCAAGACCTTTCTTTAGACACCTCTACCGAGTTTCTACGCCCAGCCGTTCTCTCAAAATAGCTATGACAAAGAAAAACAGTTTCAAATTAATATATAGATTTAAAAGAAGATGTTTACTTTCAACAACTTTTTTGTAGGTTTGAATGATCACAACATTCTGTATTATATTCCTAAGTGTGGCAGATTGTGTGAAAATATAATAATAATATATTTGGATGCATTGTTGTAGCCCCGGAACTGTAATATATCAAATATTTGGTTTTACATTTTCTTTTATCAGTTCCAAAAGTAACCTTCATTGGTTACATGTTTCGGCGAGCTGGCATTGTCAAACACTTTGTTACAGGAATATAAAATAATTCCGCTTGAATAGCTTCTTTCTCATTACACATTACACAATAAACGACATTTACACACGGCACGCATGACATTAAAAAAAATACTTTTAGTATAATATAGGCCTTCACGAGTATACAACATTGCCGGTACACAAGCGGGAACAATGAGTGTACCAGCAATGTTGTATACTCGTGATACATATGTCATGTGTGTCGTGTGTAAATGTTGTTTGTAGTGTAATGTGTAATGAGAACGAAGCTATTCAAGCGGAATTATTGTATATTCCTGTAACGAAGTGTTTGACAATGGTAGCTCGCCGAAACATGTAACACGTTGATGAAGGTTACTTTTGGAACTGGTAATGTAAAACCAAATATTTTAATATATTTGGTTCTTACCGTCTACGCAATCAGGGGCGATACTTCATTATGGTCGTTTCGGAGATAACTCCATCGTCAGGTGCGTAGTGGTACACTAAACTATAGTAACACAAACAAACAACATAAACAAAATAACATAAACAAGACTATAATTTAGTGTACCAATACGCACCTTACGATGGAGTTATCTCCAAAACGGTTGTAATGAAGTATCGCCCCCGATTGCGTAGATGGTAAGAAGTAAGTAAGTAAGAACCAAATATATTATTATTATCCTGTATTAGGGAATAGTTACACACTGTTTCCACAGAATGCAGCACTGAAAACTATTTTACTTTTGGATAAGTCCAAATATATTAAACCCCAATCACACCACACCTGTGCACTCAACAACATTTAAATTCTCCACTATTAAATATGTAAACATAAATAGTAAAAACCTTTGTCAAAGTATTATTAACAATAAAAAGGATGTCAATGCCTTAATATTTTTTTATCTCGTTCTATACCCACACGATATAACTGTTTCATGTTTTAAATAAAAACACAATTGAAGTTTCAATACTATTTATTATAAATTGTAATTAACATCGACAGAAATACATTTAGGCTGCAGTTAATGAGCCGACATCTTTTATTCTGAATCGGAAATCAAATACACTTAAAAGAGAATACACAAAGACCAAAGAGTAATACCTCTAAATATGGACTTCACTATATACATATATCAACATCCCCTCTCTTTTACAAAATTGAACATTTTAACTTTCCAAAATACAACTTTAACATTTTCCTTTCAAGTCTAACAAAATATACACCAAAACCTAATCATAAGACAACCGCTTTGGATTTCTTATCAATCTACCCTTTCGGCTTACACAACCATCGAAACTTTTAACAATTTGTTCTTCTGATAAAATTCTAGGAGTTAGGCCTACTGGTCTTTGAAACAACACTGGACTACTTTGCGGAGAAATAAGACTATTACCATTAGTACCTGACAAACTGATTTGTGAATCTGACTTAGGACTTGTTTCAGGCATTATGGTTTCATTACCTGTATCATTAGACAAATCTGGCCTAATCATCTTCCTATTTCTTACAAACATTTTATCTTTCTCATCAGACAAAACATAGGATCTGGGGATTCTATTTTTTTTTACTACTTTTCCTGATGTCCAAGGTGAATCAACAGTTTTCTTAAAATACACTTTGTCTCCTACATTTAAAGAGGGTAACTCTTTGCTATTTCTATCATAGTACTTTTTAATACAATCTTTTCTCTTGTCTGACAAAATTTTGTTAGGTTTTGTTACTTACTTGTTTTAGTACTGCAAACTACTTTTAGACAGTGGCAATAGGCCATTGAGTTTTCTACTAAACATTAACTCTGCTGGTGAAGGTTGATATTGTTTACTAGTGTTACGATAACTTAACAATGCAAGATACACATCAGACTTAGATTCTTTTGTTTTCTTCAGTAAATTTTTTGCTATTTTGACACCTGACTCAGCTTGACCATTAGATTGAGAGTGTTTTGGACTAACTATCACTAGCTTAAAATCGTACAACACAGAAAACTCGTGAAAAGCGTTAGAAGTGAATTGACTTCCTGAATCAACTACTAAAGTAACAGGAATTCCATGGCGAGCAAATATTGATTTGCATTTCTCGATTACAGTTTTTGAAGTTATGTCTGACAAAGATACTAACTCAATATATTTAGAATAATAGTCCATTAGTACAAGAAAATATTGGTTATCAAACTCAAAAATGTCACCTGACACTTTATGCCAAGGCAAATCTGGTACATCATGAAACAACAACGGTTCTTTTGCATTCATAGGCTTAAACTTAGCACAAACACTACATTTATTTACAAAACTTTCAATGTCTTTATGTAAGGTGGGCCAATACAATAAATTGCGTGCCCTAATCTCACATGTTTGTTTTCCTACATGGCCACAATGCAAACTTTCAAGCATCATTTTATGAAGTGAACTAGGTACAACAATAGATTGATTTTTGAAAACAAGATCATCTACAACATGAAGATCATGTTTAATACTCCAAAATGGTAAAACCATATTACTGACTTCAGGCTTTTGAGGCCAACCTTTAGATATATACATCTTTAAAATACCTAGACATTCATCTGAACTGGTTTTTTCTCTTAGCAGGTTTAGTTTACTTTCAGGCACGGGAAGATAAGATTTTAACATATT